TTCCTTGGAGATTTCAGGACAGCAGAGACTCTCTATGCCTAAAAAAAGGTGATTGAGCCTGGAAGCCTGCAAAGAACTTTTTTTCAATTACTCAGTTGGTCTAATAAAAGATATCACAGCTACCCAAATAACCTTACCTGCCTTAATCTACATAGCACTCTTACTGGAATCACTGGTGGATTATTTTGCCATTGTAGTCTTTACTTCTCCCCTTTAATTCTGTACAGGATATCCCAAATATCATACCCTCCTTGACCACAATGCTATCAGCCCCACTTTAAACAAACTGAAAGAGCAAATTACTGTGGAATATTTGCTGTTTGTGCTAATATTGCACACTGCCTGTTTAACACTATTTATATTATAGGCAGGTAACTTTCTGATGCATTTATTTTCTTACCAAATGAGATATTTAAAAACCTGACAGATATCTACACTGCTGCAGATTTTGTCACTGGCTTGTACAAACAAAATACATTTCACTATATTATCTGTATTGCCACGGCACCTAAGAGCCCTAGTTACAGACCAGGACCTTGCTATGCTGGAACAGATCAGAAAGCCAATCCCTGACCAAAAGACCTTACATCATAAAATATAACTTTGCCATCTTTGCACTCTTTGAAGAAAGAAAGAAAATAAAAGTGTTGTTAAACTATTTTAAACACATTACTCCATTGATCCTGACTCAAAACAACAGAATTATAATCAGCAACTGGTTCATCAAAATGATTATTTTCTATTTTTCTCTCGAAGGAACTACAGTAGATAGTTAATCTGCATTAATCATTAGACATTTTATATAAAGAGAATTATAAGCCCCATGTCCTATGGTTTCAGAGTTAGCATGAATCAAAAGCAACCCCTGTGAATAATCTTTGACAATTTGGCCTAACATTTTTTTAACTACTTTTACAGTCAAATGAAATAACCTTCAGATATATTTCATTTTTCTCAGTTTACATACATAGAATGCTAAGTTTTGCTCTTTAATTAACCTTGTTTTAATTGATTTCAAGCTCCATGAACACTGAAGATAGAGCTGAACATGATGATAGGCTTTTAATTTTGTATGTGCTATTCATGAACACATTTTCCATTATTCAATTAGCTTTATAGATGCTTGAATATTTCTGCAAATGACATGTCCAACTATGTTTTTTTTTCAGGCAATTATTGTAATATTTCAGTTGTAACTGAAAAACATCTATTTCAGAGACTGATTTCTCAAATTATGCACAGTTAGGAACTATGTGCATCTATAAAAAGAGATAAGGACTAGGTACAAGAGGTAGATCAGAAACCCACAAGAAGGGGAATGTTAGTCAAAGATTGGGATGCAGAGTGGAATGGATCTGAAAAAAAGAAAAAAGGAAAGCTAGAAGTAAAAAAATAAAAGTAATACGCAGGGAGAAAAAGCAAGGTTAAAAAGAATGCTTTTTAAAGCAAAACCTTAAAAGCAGATGGCTCAGATACTGCTTTGACTGAAAGAGGAAAGCAAAAAGACAGAAAGGAAAAGAAAAGGAAGGAAAGTAAAATGCAAGAGCAATAAAGTGTTTATTTTGTGTATTTCTCACAAAGGTTGCTTTACTTAACACTTTGACTATGATTTAATAGTTATTTGGCTACTTCTCATTAAAATACTTAATAATTTCTTCTCCTTTTGCACCATCTGGACACACATGTCCACATATACTGAAGTATAAGAGTGATGTTGTAGCTGAGATGATCCAGAAATTACACAACAGGCAAGGATTTCTTAGGGTGATAACTATATAGTTGGTCCAATATAAGGTATCACCCTAAGAAATCCTTGCCTCACACATATATTAAAGGAATAGATACAGTTCAGCAGGCCCATAAACACAAAGTTGACAGATGTGGTGGGCTAAGATAACATTAATGTTCCATGAATTTAATGGGTTCTAGCAGTGATAGTCCTCACAATCTTTCTTAATACATTCCGGGCACATCTACATATTTATTAATGCACAGTGATTACTGCACATTTATTTAGTACTTTTATAATGAAATACTAAAATTAGCAGTAACCAGAGTTACTGTGCAGCACCAGCAAATACCTTTTTAGTGACACTAATGCACGAGTAGCCTAATAATACTGCGCAATAGCATATTAGCACCATTTGTGCTGTGACATGCTAGTGAGTAGTATTATTAGGCAGTGTAGATGCACCCTCCATCTCCCTTCCAAATTCTTCCATTCCTTTAGTACAAATACAATAGAATAATGCAATATGCCTAACTTATGAAAAATGCAGAGAAATGGTCAGCCATGTTAGTCTGAAATCAAGCAAGAAGAAGGGCTGTGTGGCACTAGAGACTAACTGGTTCAGAGATGCATGAGCTTTCAAGGCACCAACCTACTCTGTCAGTTGCTTCATAGAATAGTGTAGCTTCCTGCCTCTCTGAACTAGTTGATGTCTAAGGTGCCACCCCGCCATACCTTCTGCATGAAAAACAGAGTACACTGTGATATAAAATAAGACCACCTGCTCTGCCATTGGGGACTTGTAGACCCATGGCTGGAGGCTGAGCAGGCTTATTATAGTGGTGACCCGTACTCACCATGCCACAGCACTATCAAAAGATATATGTGGCCTTTCAGGAGGGAAAGCATATTCCCTCCTGTTAAGTGTTCTGAACTCCAGCCCACAATGTCCAGAGATAATCCCAGAATCCCTCTAAACTTGATGAGGTGAAGAAAGCCAATAAAGAAAGACAAAGCATCTGGAGCTGATGAAATCCCCAGTGAAATCTTCAAGCAAGGAGGAGCGGAGCTCATTTCACAGCTCCATGCCCTCATCTTAAGCATCTGGAATGATAAGGAAATCCCAGATGACCTCAGGGAGAGCACAGTTGTGACAATCTTCAAAACAGGAGACAAGTCCAAATGTGGAAATTATAGAGGGATCACTTTGCTGTCCAACACAAAAAAGATCACTTTGCTGTGCAACACAAAAGAGAGAATGCAACCCAACTACTGAGTGAAAATACAGAACACCACTAAAACAGAAGAATGTAGTAGCATTACATGACCACAGCTAAATTTTCACTGACTGATCAACGATCCAGAAATTACAATACTGCTATTCAGCAATTTCTGGGAGCTCAGTTTTACAGATTAACTCCCTTTAGCTTTCAGTATGCATCTTGCATTCATAATAAATATAGTAATTGTGAAATGGTCTCTCTTTTTACAGGGTTCAAATGTCTTATGCAGGGTGCAAAAAATATGAAAGAGTACTTCATCAATGAATTTAAGATCTTCTAGTAGGTGTGCTTAGTCCCAAACCAGACTCTGTGAATTTACAGTATGTACTTCAAAATCATTTTATTTGACTGAGGAAAAGGTCAAACCACTCAGACCATGAATAAGGAGAGATAGTAAGACTTCACTTTGCCCATTTCCCAGAGACTTGTAGATATTATACTATCAAGAAGCTTTAGAAAAGGAAAACTAAAGAAACTCTTACCTTGCATTGTTGTTTTTGTGGGTTCTGAAAACAGGGGAATGAGCAAGAGGTAAATGAGGTAGACAAATGACAGCCCATTGTAACGGAATGCACATGCTGTAGAGAGAGGAAAAAAGAGCATATTTGTTAGTCCAGGTACTATGAAAAGGGAACAGTTGAGCTTCATGCCACAATGCATTTACCACATAGGCTACATATCTGACAGCTGCTTCTGGCCACTGTACACCTCCATAGGAAGGAACCTGAATCACTAGGTGCACATTTCCTATAGAACAGGGGTCGGCAACCTATAACCCCTGGCCAGATCTAGACTGCAGAATCAATGGAACTGTCCCACAGTAGGGGACTGCAGGCATTCTCCCTGTGCCATTGCAGGGAAAAATGGTGGTAGCTATTGGATCCTAGCACTTGCTCTTGTGCCTGCCTCTAACCTGTGGTGTGTCATTCTAGCCCGCAGCTGGAACAGGGCTGCCTATCCCTGCTACAGAATGTTTCAGGATTCAATTTACTAAGGAAGTGAAATTCAAAACATGCCAACAGTCATATACATTTCACTTGAGAGGAAAGGTGGTCTTGGAGGGAGGGCGGCTGGAAGAGAAAGCAGATCTAGGTTCTGTTCTCAGCAGCACCTCAAGCTTCCTACATGACCTTGGACAACTAGTCTTGTATCTGTCTATCCCATTTTCCCAATCTACCCACAGACATATAAGATGTTTAAACAGTAATACTTGAAAACCCTCTGATATTTTTATATGAAAGCACATACAAATTCATATAATTAGGCTTAGGATACAGAATACCCTGGATAGACTAGAGAAATGGTCTGCAATTAATCGGAGAAGTTTCAACAAGGACCAGCGCACTTAGGAAGGAACAACTGCATATGCAAATACAGACTGGGGAAAGACTCACTAGGCTGCAGTACTGTAGAGAAGGACCTGGGGTGTTACAGTGAATCACAGGCTGAATATGAGCCCACAGTGTACTCTTGTTGCAAAGAGCAACAGTGTACTGGGTTATATTAACAGGACTGCCACTTGCAAATCAAAGGAAACAATTCTTCTCTTCTGTTCAGCACAAGTGAGGCCTCAACAGGAATACTGTGTCCAGTTTTTGGGCCCCACATTTCAAGATGGATGTTGACAGTTTGGAAAGAGTCCAACTCAGAGCAACAAAAATGGTTAAGAGCCTGGCAAGCAATATTTATGAGGAAAGGCAGAAAGAAGTAGGGTTATTTAGTCTGAGGAAGAGAAGACTGAGGGGGATTTGAGAACAGTCTTCAAATACTTTAAGGGTGGTTACAGAGAGAATGGAGATGGGCTTTTCTTCATGACCAGGGGGAAATCACTATAAGCAATGGTTTCAAGCTGCAGCAGAATACATTTAGGTTAGAGATTAGGAAGAACTTTCTGACTATGGCAGTGGTCAAGAACTAGAATAGACTACCTAGAGAAACTGTGCAAATTTCCATCCTTGGATATTTTCAAGAACAGGTTAGACAGGCACTTGGTTGGGATGGTTTAATCAGGGATGATTCTTCCTTGAGCAGGGTATTGGACTAAATGATTTTGTGAGGTCCTTCCAGCCCTACTTTCTTATGATCTTATTATTACAGTTAAGGTTCTACTCAATTTGTGATACCACAGATTTTGCAGAAAAAACGTGAAATATGGGATTGTCTGCAAAATCAACCAAAAAAAATATAAAAACTTAAAAAAATAAAATAAAATACTGAGACCCCACCGGGAGCCAGTGGTCCTCACTGCCACTGTGGCCCAGCCTTACAGCCTACCCTGGGGGAAGGCACTGCTTGGAGGGGAGACATGAAAGGCAGAAGATGCTTGACCCAGGGTAAGCTCCACCTGGCTCCAGCTATACACAAGATGGTAGCTACCCCCTCACCCTTCCTTACCCTGCCAGGACATAGGCACCCACCTTAATGGATTGTTATTATTAAGGTAAGCAGAAATTAATATTTCTAAACTTTTTTGTACAACTCTTCATCTAATTTACTTTGCTGTATATTGTGTATAAGCACATCCAGAAAACATCTGTGGAATCTGCTATTTATACCGCAACCAACACATGACACCACAAGTGACACATGTTTAGTTTCTCCATGATTTAAGCAGACCACTAATCATAGTTACTGATCATCAAGGAACTGTAATGATGTATACATGCCTGACAATGCATCAGAAAGAGATATACAAGAGTAGCTAATTAGCTCTCAATTTGTGACTAAGGACCTGGTTAGACGCAACAGCCAGAGGACTGCAGCTTAGCCAGAAAGGGGCAGCAGGTGGTGAATATGGAAGGAGCTGTGAAAAGACTTCACATTATTCACTCTACAGCATCTCCCAAGTCAGTTACTCTAGGGAGAGAGGCTGATAAACAGGAAAGGCAGAAAACAGCCCAGAGCACTGATGAAGAATTAAAAATAATCACTACCCGTCTACAGGGCTTCTGAGCTGAAACACAGATGACAGGGTAGACCAGAGTTCCCCTGTATCTGCTCTTATCTTTCTGGAGTGAAACCAGTAAGCTTGAAAATAAAGGACTACCAAACCTCAGGTGTGAGAGAAGCTGAGCATGTAGCCCTCCGGGCTTTGAGGCTGGATTTAAACTTTCTGCCACTCCCAAGAAAGGTGAGACCTAACTAAATAGGCAGGAGTAGGGGTGATGAAAAGGACTCGCATACCAGTCCTGACCATGTGGGGATGTTAGGGCCCTGTTACACACTGCACTGTGATTTGCACATACTGATCTGTGTCAGTGCTACCTCAAAGCTTTGGAGCAATCACATTCAGGCCAGCAGGGGCCTGGGGAACTGAAAGGTAAAAAACCAGCCTCCCCTCCTCCCACCCCTTCCTATTCCAGGCCTCCTCCTACTCCCTGGTCCCAGGGGATCCTCCAGTCTGCTGCCCCCTGCAGCTCCCAGGCTCCCCCCTACCCCTTGGAGTTCCCCCCTACCTCCTGCCTGCCCTGCCCCGCTGCCTCTGGAGCATTACTTACTTGGGCTGCCTGTGCTGTCTGTCCTAGGGAAGCTGGCAGGGAAAAGTTAACCTGTCTTCCCGGCCGCTGATGTTCTGGGCTGCTGAGAGCAGGAGCAGCAGCTGCAGCATTGACTGGTAGGCAGGCTAACCCTTCCCTGCCTGCTCCCACAGGACAAGCAGCACAGGCAGCCACAAATGAGCTGGGGAGGAGGGCAGGAAGGCAGTGAGAGGAAATCTGGAGTGCTGGGGTTGGGGGGG